AAGATTTTACTTTTCTTTTCCCATTTTACCACATTTTTTTTAGGTTTAAAATTTTTCTTCGTGGTTGGAAATCGTGACATCACAACCATAAAGTAGAGTGAAACTCTGCTCTAAATACAAACAACTAATGCAGTAATTTTGCATAAGTTTTAGTCCTGAACCAGGACTAAACCAGGACTGAACCAGGACTGAACCAGGACTAAACCAGGACTAAACCAGGACTGAACCAGGACTAAACCAGGACTGAACCAGGACTGAACCAGGACTGAACCAGGACTGAACCAGGACTGAACCAGACTGAACCAGGACTAAACCAGGACTGAACCAGGACTGAACCAGGACTGAACCAGGACTGAACCAGGACTGAAACCAGGACTGAACCAGGACTGAACCAGGACTGAAACCAACTGGACTGAAACCAGGACTGAACCAGGACTGAAACCAGGACTGAACCAGGACTGGAAACCAGGACTAAACCAGGACTAAAGGACCAGGACTAAGGACTGGAAACCAGGACTGAACCAGGACTAAACCAGGACTAACCAGGACTGAACCAGGACTGACCAGGACTGAACCAGGACTGAACCAGGACTGAAACCAGGACTGACCAAAACCAGGACTGAAACCAGGACTAAACCAGGACTAGGACTAAACCAGGACGACTAAACCAGGACTAAACCAGGACTAAACCAGGACTAAACCAGGACTAAACCCAGGACTAAACCGACTAAACCGACTAAACCAGGACTAAACCAGGACTGTTAAATAATAAACAGTCCTGGTCTGGTTCCGGACCTGGTTTAGTCCTGGACCTGGTTTAGTCCTGGTTCAGTCCGTTATCAATTTTATCCATTTTTCATTTAAACAAAAAAATCGAAAACTGAAAAAACAAATCTTTATCTGTTTTTTTTTTTTTTTTTTTTCATTTTGGTTTTGGAGACAAATAATGCATTTTGTTTGTTTTCTTATTTTTGATTTTATTTTGAAAAACAAATGTATGAATGACACACGGATCGTAACTGCTGAACATTCCTCCGTAGACATACATGCAGAAGAACCCTCCGGTGGTTGTATTGAATCAGTCACCACCATTTTCACAGTTTATTTTTCACACGTTTGTCTGGTGTTTGGTGTTGGAGACTTTCCTGAACCAGACGCCCTCAGGTGGACAACACGGGGAAAATGGAGTTCCAGGAGTTTAAGGTTTTCTGGGAGAAGATGAAGAAGTGGATTGTGAGTAGAAACACGGCGACGTGGTGAAGGTCCTGCTCACGTCTGGAGGCTTTGAGGCTTTGAGGATCTGTTCCTGTGTTTCAGATGCTGTTTTTGTCCTTTGACACTGACCGCTCCGGGAAGATGTCGTCCTATGAGCTCCGCAGCGCCCTCAACGCCGCAGGTACGGACCAAAGGAAGAAACACACCCACGCCAGCGTTCAGAAAGATACGAGGGGTGGGACAAAACTGTGCACACACGAGGAAAATGATCTCGTGAGATTTTTCCTCGTGTGTGTTTACATTTGGACTGGTTAAAAAAGGGTTGAACACTGGAGAGTTCACATTTTGAGAAGCCATAGTTCCAAAAAGCGATGCTAAAATAAATGCATAAGTACTTTAAATATATAAAAAATGTAAAGGCCAAAACTGTGATGAACTGGACGCCACAATTTACTTACAGTTTAATTATAATTGGTATCAAAACCTCATCTTGTCTCGATCTCGTGGACCTTATCTTGTGTCCCAGGCCGCTTTCACGCCGCTAGTTTAGATGATTTGTTCCAGGCAATAAAATAATTCTTCTGTAGCGTCTAGACTTCAGTGTGTTTCTCTCTCACCGGCAAACCAACCAAAACTAGTCTGACTGACGTTTATCCAAGGCTCATGTGCACAGCGGGTTCGACTGCACGTGGCTCGGGGACGTAGTAAGGGCGACCCCTCGGTAGTACGGCCGAGACACACCGTCCTGCTCGAAGACCTTCCCTTTCGTGGGGTACGGGTGGCTCGAACCTCACCTAAGAAGCTCCCTGGCCCGGGGAGCTCGGACTCGCAAACCTACAAACCGCCGACCACAGGGCAGGTCTCTGGACCCGACCCGGTCCCCGTCACACACTCAGTTGGGGATGGTGGAAATTGAGGACAGGAAGTCCTGGAATAGTTGGTTTGGACCTGAGTTGGCATCTCACCAGAAGGACCAGACCAGAGTTTGGCATTTGGGGCGGAGTCAAGCGACCGAGACCACTTTTTTTTTTTTTGCAGTCTCGGTCCGTTTGATTTAGAGCGGATCCGAGTGCGACTGAAGCTTTCACACCAACAAAAATGAACCAAACTAAGAGCTTCTGGTTCGAACGGAACGTTTGGTCCACCAACTTCTGTCGGTGTGAAAGAACCTTTAGTCTTTGGGAGAATTTTGTCTCGTCCCACCTGTGATAAATAATATGATAACTAGTACTGAAACTAGATACTCATTTTTCACAAGTATTGATATTAAAAAATAAATCCCATTGTCCCATTGTTGCCTGGTTTAGACCTGGTTTAGACCTGGTTTAGACCTGGTTTGAGGGATCACACAGATACAGCAGTGGAAGGTACCAAAGTACAGAAGTAAATGTACAAATTGTAGGTATCTGTACTTTACTTGAGTACATTTTACATTGGGTACTTTTTACTTCACTACACTTGAGTATGTGTATCTGTACTTTCTACTCCACTACATTTTAGATCTGGACTAAAAAGTAAAAAGTACTTTTACTTTAGGAGTGGAGACCTGCTGAAAAGGCTGAGACTTATTTTTAGCTCATTAAATTTGAGTTTCCGCCCCAACTTTGAACGACACAAAAACACAAAAATGACTAGAAAAAATAAGAAATCAATTAAATCACTTAAAATCAGTTGAATTCTTTATCAAAGTCACTACATTTCATCTTTTAATTGTTCTGAAAATAACTGCAAACTACTAGTATATTTTTAAACAGGGACTTTAATACTTTTTTCCATGTGACACTTTTACTTTAACGTAAGTAACTTTTGCCCCTGTATCTGTACTTTTACTTAAGTAACAAAAAAAAAGTACTTCATCTATTACTGCACAGACTTAAGGACACATGGGAACAGAAAAGAATGTTCTACCATTTAATGTTGAAAATCAAAGTACATTGTCTAAAAAAAACGTCAGAATAGTAGTAAAAGTATGGGAGCTGCCAGCCTCGATGAGCTTCATTTGCCTGGAGCTGTGGGCGACGTCGCGCTCGCTTCAGTCTGTGATCTCAACTTGTGCGTCACGGTAAAAGTTTTCATTTGAATTCTTCTGTGTTTTTGTCTCAGGGATGAAGCTGAACAACAAACTCTTGGCTCTGCTCGGGCTCCGATTCGCCGATAAGAAATACGACATCGACTTTGATGATTATCTCACCTGCATCGTGAGGCTGGAGAACATGTTCAGTACGTCGTCGCACAAAAAACACAACACAAAAATGACACACAACACACAAAATACAAAAATGTCACATAAAAAACAAAACACAAAAATGTCACACAAAAACAAAACACAACAGAAACAGAGTAATATGAGTCCTGTAAATACACACACTTCAAATTATTTTACTATAATATATATATTTTTTTCTATACAGGGTGTTTCCAGGCCATGGACAAAGAGAAGAGAGGACGAGTGCGAATGAATATGATGCAGGTAAGAACGTGTGGTACAGAGGAGGACAGAGGTACAGAGGAGGACAGAGGTACAGAGGAGGACAGAGGTACAGAGGAGGACAGAGGTACAGAGGAGGTACAGAGGAGGACAGAGGTACAGAGGAGGACAGAGGTACAGAGGAGGACAGAGGTACAGAGGAGGACAGAGGTACAGAGGAGGACAGAGGTACAGAGGTACAGAGGTACAGAGGAGGACAGAGGTACAGAGGTACAGAGGAGGACAGAGGTACAGAGGAGGACAGAGGTACAGAGGAGGACAGAGGTACAGAGGTACAGAGGAGGACAGAGGGACAGAGGTACAGAGGAGGACAGAGGTACAGAGGTACAGAGGAAGACAGAGGACAGAGGTACAGAGGAGGACAGAGGTACAGAGGAGACAGAGGTACAGAGGTACAGAGGAGGACAGAGGTACAGAGGTACAGAGGAGGACAGAGGTACAGAGGTACAGAGGACAGAGGACAGAGGTACAGAGGAGGACAGAGGAGGACAGAGGTACAGAGGAGGACAGAGGAGGACAGAGGTACAGAGGAGGACAGAGGAGGTACAGAGGAGGACAGACAGAGGTACAGAGGAGGACAGAGGTACAGAGGAGGACAGAGGTACAGAGGAGGACAGAGGGACAGAGGTACAGAGGAGGACAGAGGTACAGAGGAGGACAGAGGTGCAGAGGATGGACATGTATTTTACCACATAAACACATATTTTTTCTTGTGCAGTTCCTGATGTTGTCCATGAACGTTTAAAGAGAAACCAGAAGACAAAGATCACAACAACACAACAACAACAACAACAACAACAACAACAACAAAACTACTCCATGGTGCAAAGAGACAAGCTTTTATTACAATATTTTACATTTATTTTTCGTTTTTGGAGCATAGCACAACTGATGTTAAAATGTGGAAGGGGTAAAAACATTTTCAGAAATTATTTTTGTGTGATGAAGATTTTTTTGACTGTTCTTAAAAATGGAAATAAATTCAAATTGAGCCGTGTCTGGTGTGACTGTGTGAGAATAACAGAAGATCGGCGGTTCTGGTTCTGGAGTAACTTCTAAGTAGAAATGTGCAAAAATATTGAAATATTGACATATCGTATCGTTTAATGTGATGATACAGGATCGATATCGTGAGCTGCTGTATCGAATATTTTTTGGTGTATTAGACACAACGAAATCCAGGCGCTCCCAAGAGGTAAAAATCTCACAAGGAAAGGCCAAAGCCGACATGTTCAGCTCTTCATCAGGGCTTAAAATGTTGTTATTATTTTATATTTTGTTTGTTCTGGATTCAAAGTTTAAGCAAAAACTATTATAAACATTTATTTTAAAGAAAGGTTTAACATTACAGATAAGACAAATAAGAAGAGAAAACATGCAGATGTTGTTGAAATTTTTCAATAAATATTTAGTTTGGCCCAAACGACGGAGTATAAAGGTCAGATAAAAAAAAAGATGCTGGCGCTACGAGAATAAAGTCATAACATTTCAACATTAAAGTCATAATTTTATGAGAATAAAGTCGAAGTTAAAATAAAGTCGTAATATTTTGAGAATAAAGTTATAATATCACGAGAATGAAGTCGTAATAAAATCAAAGTCAAAGTGAAAAATGCGGCAGAAGAAAAACCTTGTTTTTCAACATAAAACCAAAAATAAGTAAAACGAACAACAATTTTCTTCATTATTTGCGCCTCCGGACTGAACCAGGACTAAACCAGGACTGAACCAGGACTGAACGAGGTCCGAGACCAGACCGGGACTGAGACCAGGACTTAGACCGGGACCAGACAAGGACTGAGACCAGGATTGAGACCGGGAACAGGACCAGGACTGAGACTGGGACTGAGACCGGGACCAGACCAGGGCTGAAAATGGTTTAGTCCTGGTTTAGTCCTGGTTCAGTCCGGAGGCGCAAATAATGAAGAAAATTGTTGTTCGTTTACTTATTTTTGGTTTTATGTTGAAAAACAAGGTCTTTCTTCTTGACTTTGATTTTATTACGACTTCATTCTCGTGATATTATAACTTTATGCAGCGCAATATTCCTGCATCGCATTTTAAAGTCACGGAAACGCAATTTCACATTTCCGTGACTTAAACCAGGACTAAACTAGAACTAAACCGTTTTCAGTCCTGGTCTGGTCCCGGCCTCAGTCCTAGTCTCAATCCTGGTCTTTCTGGTTTGGTTTCGGACCTGGTTTAGTCCTGATTCAGTCCTTGTTCAGTCGAATGAATGAATGATACACAGATTCTTCTCCTTTACAAAATGCTCCAAATTCTCCACGAGCCGCAGATATTCTCCTGATATTAACACTTTATTTTGACTAACACTTTATTCTCCAAAAAATACGACTTTATTCTCGTAATATTACGACTTTAATGTCGAAATGTTACGACTTTATTCTCGTAGTGCCAGCATTTTTTATTTTTATTTTTTTTATCTGACCCTTATACTGCGTCGTAATAAAAAGATAAAAAAAAAAAAAAAAAAAAAAAAAAAAAACGCTTCTTCGGTGGAACATACCAATAATGTAAGCACAAGGGGGGGAGGGGGGGGGGATTCAAGACGTTTCTTATCTAAAACCGGCCTCTACACAAGAACTGTAACAGCACTGGTGAATTTAAACGAATATTTATATTTCTCTAAATCTCAAAATCTAAAGTTTGGTTTAAATTTTCTGGTTTAAATGTTGAGTTTTACAGATAAACCCCCGTGTCTGTGTGCAGTGGTTCCTTCCTGAATGGCGGCGGCCCTGGTGGAGACACGCTGCCCGCTGCGTGGATAAACAAACCCGCAAAAACGCACCGATTTACGGGTTTTTATGTGAAGAAACGCAAGAATCTGAACCGCGGTTTAACAACTGAAGCTCCGTAAAGTAGAAACAACAGAAACGACAGAAACAGCGACGTGACAAGATGGTACGTGCGGTTTGTTTTGAGAGATGCTAACTGCAGCTAACGGCTAACACGAGCTTTAAAATGTTGTTGTCAAAAAAAACAAACAAATTATTCACACATAAATTATATGTACGAAAATATTTCACTGTCAGTTTAACATTTAGATCTTACTTTTTGTCGTGCTTTTTATTTTTGAATTTATCTTAAATAATTATAAAGTCTGTGTAGAGTGACCAGATTTTACTAACATGAGTCAGTTTAGTCACATTTTCTTTGTGTTTTGGTCATTTTTGAGCATCTTTTCTGTATTTGTACCTGAACAAATTACAATTATGCCTCTTTTTACTGTTACAGGGATCAGATTGGTCCAAAATAGGGACATTTTTTGTTTAAAACTGGGACAAATCAGTGGTTTTGTATAAATCTGTGGGATAGGACTGGGACTGTGCCAGTGTAGCGGCTTCAAACTACCCCCTTCAAAAATTTCCCCCTGGTAATTTGAAACCAGTTTTCCCCATCTCGATCAATACTTTTTAAAAGAATATATTTGATACAATGTTTTATTGCTTTATTGCTTCATATCACACAAATTATAAAGAGAATACAATCATCATCATACATAAAGTGCAGGGGCAAAGCCTTTACTGTGCACAGTCAAATTTATTATATCAACAACAAACTCACAGAACCAGTACAATAAATGAAACCATCACAACACGAATGAGGTGCAGGGGCAAAGCCTTTATTATGCACAGCCTTTATCATGAAATCATTACAACTTTTTCTTCTTTATTTTTGAAACCGTATCCTACTTTTTCCATGAAATCATTCAAACTATTTCTTTTTGTGAAATCTTATCCACTTTGACTGTACATCTGGTACACTACCATAGTATATTTACCAGTCCAGACTTGGCGAAGTTAAGTCGGACTCCAACGATACACACACGATAAATAAAGATTTATTTTATTTTATCATACATGCTTATCTAAATACATAACTCTTTAAACATAGGTGTTCAATCATTGTAGAAAAAAATAAATAAAACTTCATTGTAGATTAAATAGATGCATGTAAAAAAGAAACCGTTTTCAAATTACCGGGGGGGGTAATTTGAAACCAACTTCAAGCTGCCCCCCAGTAGTTTGAAACTTTTACACCGGGGAAACAGGGACATCTGGACTCTGTGTTTCCTGATGTGGTGACTGTGTCTCCATAAACATTCTGCCGTACACATACATGTAGGACACCCCCAGAGTGACGTCTGTTTTGGCAAAGGTCTTGTGATGAGCAGAGTCTGGTTTGAGGACTGAGAGCTTCGCTGCTTCGTCGGATTCTTATGATGACGGGATCGTGATGTCATTGTTTTCCAAAAGCTGCGATTTGTTTGTCCATATGACAACACAACGCCGGCGTTCTCAGGTTTCTCCACTCTGGATCCCGTTCTTAAAAAACATAGTTTTTGCCCGAAACTCTGGCTCCGTGTGGACGAAAGGACGAAATGAATAATCCGATCTAAACATAGAAAAAAAAAAATGGCACCAGCTCATTTTGAGCAGGTGTGCAGAGTCTTGGGACAGTTTTGTCTGTGACCTGGACCTGGAACACTGAGATCACACAGACATACGGCACATGGGAATAGAAAATAAAGTTCTACCTTTGAATGTGGAAAATCACAGAATATTGTCTAAAGAAAGTGTTTTATTTATTTATATTTAAAAATGACTATCGTGGCATCAGAGTCAGTATTGAGTCTTGAGTGTCGTGACAACACTATTACTGTTTATCTTCATGAACAAAAGGAGGATTATCTGTTCATCTTGACGTGTCTCCTGTGTTTTATTTCCAGCCTCATCGAAAGAAAAAGTCGTTCATTGAGAAGAAGAAGGCGGTGACGTTCCACCTGGTCCACCGCAGTCAGAGAGACCCGCTCGCCGCAGACGAGAAAGCCCCGCAGCACGTGCTCCTGCCCGCCAACAAGGTAACCACGGCAACAAGCTTTTCACCAATCACGTAACGGCGCAGAGACGTGTGCTCTGACACTTTTAAACAACATAAATGAATTCAACTTTGTCCAGTTACTCGTTTATGAACCCGATGACATTTAAACAGCGACTCTTTAAGGGACAGAAGCAACTTTTGGAACTTTCTCTCGTGTTCTAACGATGTTCCCTCATCAAAAACATGTCTGAAGAGATTTTAGAGTCACCCCTGCATGTTTGAGTAATCTAGTGATCTCTCCTGGGCTCTATTCAAACTCTGTACGGTTAGGTGTAAGATTCTGTACGAGGCTCCGCCCACAAAACTAAGTTCCCCCATGCTCTTACTAATATTAAGCATTTAACTCAAAAATATCAGCTGATATTTTACAGTTTTATTTGTATCATTTAATTAACTGTATTTACTACTATATTAAAGTAATAATTTTCATTTTCAATGTAAAATAATCAAATAAATAAAGGAAATTAGGTTTGGTAGATTAATTGGTAATTATTCAAAGTGCAACTGGACAGTAAATGTCTTAAAGGAAGTTACATAAATGTTGTTCATGTGGTTTGGGTGAGTTTTTATAAAGTCACTTTCAAAAGAAAACAAACAGACTTTTTTTAATTTCAGTTGAAGCGTCTTTCAGTAAAACGACAGATTCATGCAGTGAAACGCTCATATTACTGTGAAATGTGTCAGAAATTTTTTTTTGACATAATTTTTATTTATTTTTTTTACATAAGAACTTAAATATAAAAAGGGGAAATGTTAACATGTTTAAGTTTTATCCAATTTTGAAGTGTTTTACTTTTTAATCATTCCAGAGTTTCAGAGTTAATGTTGAATTTGGGCAAATTGTCAAAGTCTTCAAAACTTTGAGGAAAAAAAAAATAAAAAAAATTTTAATGTCCTGTTGTTTATTTGTAGATCAATAATGTAATTTATTTTAAATTTAATAAAATGTTAACAATATGTCTTTTGCACTGACTGACATTTTTAAGAAGTTTCTGGCTTTAAATGCAGAAAAATGTTTTGTATCAAAGTTTTTTTTTTTTTTTTTTAAGGAACATACACAAAATGATAAAATCTACAATTAAATATACCAGAAAATCTACACATTTTGCAGACTTTATATTTTCATTTTTTGAGCATTTGAAAACTGCAAAACGTCACTGATTCGTTTGCAGTTAATTATGTACAAAGTGAAACACGCCCATCTTTAATAATGATAAAAAATGAAACGCGCTCTCTTTAATCGTGTAAAAAGTGAAACACTCTCTCTTTCGACGACGGGACTTTTCTGATAAACCCTGTGTGTTTTTCTCAGGCGGAGGTGGAGAAACGGCGCGAGGAGCAGAGGAGCTACGGCGTGTTTTTCGATGATGATTACGATTACCTGCAGCACCTGAAGGAGGCGTCGGGGACGTCTGAGCTCGTGCCGGGGCTGGACATGAGGACGGAGAGACGGATTCAGCTCAGAGACGAAGAGGAGGAGGAGGAGGAGGAGGAAGAGGAGCAGACTGGGACCACTGTGAGTCAGGGACCAGTGACGTTTAAAGAGACCGAGACAGAACCTGGATCCTGTGATTTCCTGATTTTTAATTGAACTGTGATTATCGTTTGTCCTGTCGCTGTAAACACAAGTACGGCTCAGCTTAAACTTATTTATATCAAAGTTTGACAGTTTAGTTTTTAGTTTGACAGTCTCTGCTCGGTTTTCAAACTTTTATTAACAATTTAAATGCAGAATTTAAAACAAGTATCGAAACTAGATTCTCATTTTTCGCTCGTATCGAGACTAAAAAAGACAGAAACAAACCTCTCCTGAATGTCTTTAGAACAATCTGGAACAACTGTATCGGAACAAGTTTAACAGCACAGAGACTAGAACACACCATGGGCCTGGTTTAGACCTGGTTTAGTCCTGGTTTAGACCTGGTTTTAGTCCTGGTTTTAGTCCTGGTTTTAGTCCTGGTTTAGTCCTGGTTTAGTCCTGGTTTAGTCCTGGTTTAGACCTGGTTTAGACCTCCTGGTTTAGTCCTGGTTTAGACCTAGTCCTGGTTTAGTCCTGGTTTTAGTCCTGGTTTAGTCCTGAGTCCTGGTTTAGTCCTGGTTTAGTCCTGGTTTAGTCCTGGTTTAGAGGTTTAGTCCTGGTTTTAGTCCTGGTTTAGTCCTGGTTTTAGACCTGGTTTAGTCCTTTTAGTCCTGGTTTAGAGTCCTGGTTTAGACCTGGTTTAGACCTGGTTTAGTCCTGGTTTTAGTCCTGGTTTAGTCCTGTCCTGGTTTAGAGAGTCCTGGTTTAGTCCTGGTTTAGTCCTGGTTTAGTCCTGGTTTAGTCCTGGTTTAGAGGTTTAGTCCTGGTTTAGTCCTGGTTTACCTGGTTTAGTCCTGGTTTAGTCCTAGACCTGGTTTAGTAGAGACCTGGTTTAGACCTGGTTTCCTGGTTTAGACCTGGTTTAGTCCTGGTTTAGTCCTGGTTTAGACCTGGTTTAGACCTGGTTTAGACCTGGTTTAGTCCTGGTTAGGTTTAGACCTGAGACCTGGTTTAGTCCTGGTTTAGTCCTGGTTTAGACCTCCTGGTTTAGTCCTGGTTTAGTCCTGGTTTAGAGGTTTAGTCCTGGTTTAGTCCTGGTTTAGTCCTGGTCTTGGACCACTGGGAGATCACATAGATATAATGAAACGTTGGAATAGTTTAAATACAGATTTTACACCGACACAGAGCCACAGTTTTTATCAGTGAAAATGTTTTTATTCCAGGAGTAAATCTGATCAGATAAATGTCGGTCTTTATTTTCTTTATAGTCTTTATTTTCTTGTACTGACGACAGGAAGTCCTTTTTAATGTTGTGGAAAATTAGAAAATGTTTATGTGTTTGTATTTCCAGACGAGCATCAAGCTTCCGTCCTCGGTGTTTGCGTCGGAGTTTGAGGAGGAGGTGGGATTACTGAACAAAGCTGCGCCCGTCTCAGGTGAACGACACACACTTTTGTTGTAGAACTGTGGTCGCCCGGGCCTTTCTGTGTGGAGTTTGCATGTTCTCCCCGTGTCTGGGTGGGTTTATAGCTGCTCTGCCTCAGCCCACTCCTGCATCCTGCTCACAAATCCAAAGAGACGTGGATGAAAGTCCAAAACCAGGACTGGTGGAGCCGGTGTGGTGTAGGATTTTGACCCCGGGGTCAGAATCCTATTATGGTTTGTTGACCCCCCTATGAAAATCTATATTTTATTAATAAACAACTTGAATTCTATAGAAAAGCTTTAAATATTAATATGATATCTGCAAATTAAAACATATTCATATATTTAAAAGTGTTTTTCGAAGAACTCAGGTGCATTTTTTAATGTCGATTGTAACTTTTGAATGTTAAATGGCGACACAACGAACAACCGCAATGATTTTTAACAAGAATAAACGTGAAACATGATCAAGGAAGAACTTAATGCGGCTTTAAAAACAGAATAAACCAAACACTTACTTCGGAATTAAGTTTAATTCTGAATAATCATTTTCTTTGGGAATGAAGTGTTTACATGGAAATTTTAAAGCGGAATTAAACATTCTCTTCAAATTTTGAAGAGTCTAGAACTGGACCACAGAGCGTGAAAAACCTCTGTCCAAATTTTCAACGATCCAACCACAGACGCTCCATTTGTCTCACGCGTCTCTCAAATGTAAAAAAACATCTCTTGAAAAACTCTTGTAACATTCAAAACTAAATATAAAACTTCCTGAACTGGTGCTTCGATTGTTTCTTCGGAGAAAATCCACTGTGTTTCTCAGTCCTCTACGTTGATTCTTCTCCTTTTTACCTGTAAGCAGCACGTTTGTTTTTGACGTGAGACAGCGTGCTTTTCTCTGATTGGTTCATCCACCTGTCAATCAAACCCCCTGAAATCCAAATCCACTTTATTTCTGTAGCAAATTTTTACAAACAAAGCAGTTTCCAAAGTGCTGCTCAGAAAATGAAGCCGACAAAAAGGTAAATTGCTAAAATTTGGTCATAGAAGTTTGAAAACAATAAAACCACTAAAAGCAAATAAAAGTAAAACCATAAAAATCATAAAACAGCAGTAAAATAAATAATAAATAAATCGTCTGTGTGAAGTTTTGTCAGAGTCTGTGGTTCTGGATGGACTGGTGATTGAAAAAATGTTCTTTAAATCAATATTTTTTTAGTTTTTGCTCGTGAGTTTTGTGTCTTGCAGCTGCTGAGCTTTCCTCCGTAGACATGCATGTAGAGCCCCCCTCCCCATCGTGACCGTCGTGTTGAAACAGCTCTTTGCTTCCTCCTCAGGGCCTCGTCTGGACATGGACCCCGACATCGTGGCCGCTCTCGATGAAGATTTTGACTTCGACGACCCAGAGAATATTTTAGACGACGACTTCATTCTGAAAGCGAACGGCTCGGAGAGGACGACCTTCAGCGGGTAAACGCCGACAAACACCACCGCAGTTTTTAAAGAGCGCAAGTTTCCTCGCCACACACAGACCTGGACTTGTGTTTTGTTTCATTCACACGTTTAACGCACAAACCTGCACATTTAGACTTCAGACTTCTTCTCTCAAACTGAAAACACTTTACAGACAGGAAGTGCTCCACTGTGTTTTTAACAGTGTTGTACAAGTTCACACTTTTCAAGAACTACTTCAAAGTTCGTTTCGTTTTATTTTTAGGTGAGAAATGTAAATGAAAGACTGAACTTATTTTTCAAACTGACTTCCAGTTTACAACAACTTTACAACATATAAACCATAAACACTAAACTATCAAACTCCACAGAGAACATGAGTCTTTGGTTGTATTTGTGCGTTTATCATCAGCACATCGTGTCCTGGGGCAGATCTGTGTCGTGTGAAAGAGCCCAGCTCCACAGAGACTCTTAATAAGAGCTTTAAAATGTCCTTTTGAAATCCTGGCGTTTGTGGTGGTGAGTGAGTACAGAAGGTAAATACAAGTGTGTTCAGCTGTTCAGTCTGCACCTGAAGTGACCCAAATCAGATTTTTTGTCTCTATGTTCCTGTATCTGATCTTTTATTGACAGTCTGAACCACACAGATCCGATTTTTTCAAATGTGACCCAGGACACTTGGGCTACGTTCAGACTGCAGGGCTTAACGCTCAATTCCGATTTTTTTGTGGAATCCGATGTTTTTTCGAGCTCGTTCACATTTCCAGTTAAATGTGACTTGTATGTGACTCCAGTGTGAACATTAAACAGTCCAAAAGTGTCCCACATGTGACACTGGAGACACGACGACGTCAACCGCAGCGAGCGTCTCTGTGTTTACACAAGTTGAACAAACATGGACGCAGCATCGAGCACCTGGAGATTTTAAAGTTCCGGTTTCCGCCTGCTTCAGCGCAGAATAGTGACGTTTGTGTCTTGTTGATGACGTGTAGGTGGATGAATGTGACCTGACTGTTCACACTCAAGTCACATGTTAAAGATCAGATATGGATCAGTTTCAGGAGCACAGATCCAAGTGTCCTGGGTCATGTTTGAAAAAATCAGATCTGTGTGGTTCAGACTGACATTAAAAGATCAGATACAGGAACATAGAGACAAAAAATCGGTTTTGGGTCACTTCAGGTGCATCTGAACGGAGCCTTGGATCTGTGCTCCTGAAACTGATCCATATCTGATCTTTAACATGTGACTTGAGTGTGAACGGTCAGGTCACATTCATCCACCTACACGTCATCAACAAGACACAAACGTCACTATTCTGCACTGAAGTAGGAGAAAACTGTTCATGATCCATGTGACTGAAGTGAAGCACATCTCCACTCACCACAAAACACCACCGCCAAAAACCTGGTCCTTCTCCTTCTCAATCTCCTCCTTAAAACAAGTCAGTTGTTCATGTTGTGGCTCCGGTACGAGAGGAACTTTAAAATCTCCAGGTGCTCGATGCTGCGTCCATGTTTGTTCAACTTGTGTAAACACAGAGACGCTCGCTGCGGTTGACGTCGTCGTGTCTCCAGTGTCACATGTGGGACACTTTTGGACCGTTTAATGTTCACACTGGAGTCACATACAAGTCACATTTAACTGGAAATGTGAACGACCTCGAAAAAACATCCGATTTCACAAAAAACAAGCGACTAAATGTCTCAGTCAAGTTTGATCGTCTTTACATTAACAAACACAGAGTCAGTGCTGCGCGTGTTTGTCCTGCTACAGCTTCAGGTGGAGTCGTCTTTGTGTTGACATGCGGCTGTGGTTTCATGAGGTTACGTGCGTAAACGTTGACACGTGCAGTGCAGCCAGGCTCTAAAAAGCGCGAGCGAGCAGACCTTGTCAGTCGACTCATCAGGTGAAAACAAATCCTGTTGTTTAATTGATCTCCAACAGTGACGTACGTCGTTCATCTGACATAATCTAAACAAATTCACGTTCAAGTTCTTGATTTACAAATGTGTCGCGTTCAGTTCAAAGTTCACTGAAAAATGAACATGTTCTTTTGAACTCATCATGCACAACACTGGTTTTTAAACTCCACACACCTTCACTAGAATCATTTCAATAATTTTAGCTCTGGAATTGCCGATCTCTAATGAACAAAATGTAAAAGGAGCTGCTGACTTAAACGTCCGCGTCATGACGTCACATTAAAGTGGATCGGGATGAAGTTTTCTGTCTGAGCTCGACCTGCGTCTGACAGAGCAGCGATCGAATCTGACCTGAGCCTGACGCAATTAAAATCACTATTTCATCGGCCGACTAATGACACACGGAGGATATTGTTTGTGTTTCTCTAACGGACACAGAGACGCAAAATACAAACTCAGGATAAAGCGAAAATAACGAAGACTTTATTCCTCACCTCTCGTTAAGTAGTAAATTTAAACTGCAGCATCTCAGCCACATTATCCAGAGAAACTGTGACATCCAGTTCACAAAACGGCTCTGTGAATCCAGTTTGAGTCGTTGTTTAAAAGTAAAAAGGCGAGTTTGGTTCCTCACGTGGGTTTGTTTACATCCACACAGCTCACAGATCGATTCACCACAGTGACTCCACTTCCCCACAACTTTATCTCCAATCTTTTCTGCTTTAAAAATCCTGAAGTTTCTGAAGATTCTGAAGTTTTGCACCACATTTCACAAATAATAATGACACAGTTTTGTCTTGTATCTAAACTAGAAGTGCAGAGCTCTGATCTTTTGACACATAAGCGTCTCAGAGCGACTGGTTTTACTGTGGACAGGAAACGGCTGATGTGTCCGAGTCCAACCCGAACCCGCTGGACTTCAGTCGGGTTTCCACGCTCTACATCACAAGGTGGAGCAGAGCATTTTGAGTTTTGGAAATGTAGACAGACTAATAATAAAGAGTTACTCAAATGAATGAAATTAAACACAACTCCAGCTCTGTTTTTGGGAAGGAAACAAGATTAGAACTCGACTTAAAGGTTGTATAGAGGGTTTTTTTAAGGGAAGAGAAACACAGCGACAGTCCTTGTGTGCGTTCAGAATCACTGTTGAAGTTTCCTGTCTAGAAGTAATTCAGCGACCGACGCGTCAGTTTTTAGACCCTTCGTCTGCTTCGGTCGCGCCATCGCTGGACGAGCTCTCCAAGAATCACCTCAGTTTGGCTTTACTCCTTTTCCACTTCTCTTCTTCTTTCAGCGACCTCGAAAATGGACTTTTGCGGTGAACCGGTCGTGGATTCTCATCCACCATCGTGACAAACTTTGTGCGAAATGCGAGGAAGCGACAGTTCGAAAAAGCCTCTAAGAACCGCTGCGTAAACCACGTAATCCCCGCGCTCCGACGAGTCAGTTACACTAGGGAGTTTGATTGACAACCTAACAGCCAATAGAAAATGAGGGAGCCTCGTTTTCTATTGGCTGATGTTTATCTGGCCTCAACACGTCCACAGTTGATAGATTTTCGTTCTTTTTTTTTTTGGTCATCATAATTACAAAGCTGCTGCGTCTCTGTAATGGTGTTTTAATCTTTCATTGACAGTTTGAAACTAAAAAAATCCTCCATACAACCTTTAATACAGGCCGTTTAACCTCCATCTGAATCTGAACAGCTCCTGTGTAACTGTTGTGTAACTGTTGTGTTTGTGCGTTAGTGACGGTGATGAAGACGACGACGACGATGAAGAGTGGGAGGACACAGACGAGGAGGACTTTGACTCGGACGGAGCTTTGTCCGACGGGCAGATCCCAGACGGCGGCGCTCGCGAGTTCCTGTTTGAGGACGAGGAGACGAGGACGCGCTTCACGGAGTATTCTATGACGTCGTCCGTGATGAGGAGGAACGAGCAGCTCACTCTCCTCGACGACCGCTTCGAGAAGGTACCGCTTTAAACTTTTACAGACTCTTCAGAGCTTTAAACCACGTTACAGACTAAAGGGTCGGACTGGGAGATGTGGCCAAAAAATAAAATCTCAAGTACGAAGTCAGAGCAGAAACTCCAGGTTGTTCAAACGGGATGATTTTTACGTGAGCGTTAAACAGAGAGGAGCTGTTTTTAAAGCACGTACTCTCCGGTGAGACGGACGGGCACATTTAACCCCCTCAGTCATGATTGGTTCTTGTGGTTGCTATGATACTCACGGTTGGATTTCCAAATATGGCAACAGGAACTTCATTTGAGCTGAACACTGTGGAGACGTGACACTCGCTTAGTACATATTTGGGTCCAGTCAAACAGAAGTAAACAACAAGACCAAAACTTCAAGTGAATTCATCTGATATAAAAGTGTATTGAACAGATACATATGTACTCGAGTTTATCAAACTGTTGACCTTTTTTCTGTTCCATTTTTGGTTCTAAAGTTCCAGACGTTTTAAACAGACCATGAATGAAACATGGAACAAAAATTATTTCCCAAATTTCAAAGACCTGAAAATCATGTAAATAAATGTTTGTATTTCATCATATCTTGTGTTATTCCATCTTTGAACTGTTGATGAAGGGACAGGATTTTTCCAAAAAAACAAGTCTTTGAAATGATAAAAATGTTCTTGGAAGGACTGACATATTTTATAGAAATAGTTTCTTTCATTTTGAAGTAATATTAAAGTTTTCAGAAGAAAAAAGCGACAAATGATGTAAAATCCTGCACCTTCTACTTGTTTGTACAATTTTCCCTCTGTTACTTTTCCCTCCGTTACCATGAACTTTCTTAATAAAAAATCTCATGAGTCAAAAAGTCAGAGGTTTTTCAACCTAATCTTGTCCCATATGGTAGAAAACTATATGAAGCAAATATTCAAACCAGTTTGTTAAGGATATGGAAGTGAGAACCAAGAGTTATCACTGTTTGGATTTATTGACCAAAAAGTGCTGCATATTTCATTCCCTCCGTTACCGACATGAGTTTTTTACATTTTTTGTCTTGAACTTGAAAGAATCTCACAGGTTTAACTTGACCCTGTTGGAGTGTAACTCTTTCCTACATTCTGATACTTTACTTATTTCAATAGTTCCTCTAGTTTCTGAATAAGAGACATTTGAATGTCAAAAATCTGACCCTGTTTCCCTCCGTTACCACTTGACCAGACCCATTTTTATCCAGTCTGTGGTTAAAACTGCAGAACACGCGGCTCCAGGTTGTGTAAAGTGCTTATACCACATCTACAAACTGAAATGTATTTATTTATTTATTTATTACTGGATCCCCTTTAGTCTTTACAGGGAAAAGATTATTTCCCGGGGTCCAAATTAGCATAATTTACAATAAAAAATACCATTATAATAACTATAAAAGTTCATACATAAGTTCATACAGTCCTGTTCCACAGTGACTACATCATAAACATTAACTATAATATATCCAATAAATCACAATGAATAAATAGTGACTAAATATATTTATGTACAATTTCCATTTTATATTTCTTTAACATTTCCTGTTTGGGGGAGCGAGCTCCAAAGCAGCATCACTCTGTACAGAACAGTTCTGTTCAGGTCGTTAGTTCTGGACGGTGGAAGAGTAAAATGTCCCTGTGAAGTTGGTCTTGTGTTAAAATCACCTCTAGAGGGCAGCATCTGCAAACAGACTCACATCTGTACAGTTCACACATTTAAAAACAAAACAAGTTTACAGGTGAATCTGTCCTCCACAGTAAAACAGAGAGTCTCTCGTGCACAACGCCCACGCTCGTCCACAGAGCCACAGACACAGAGCCACAGACAGAGCCACAGACACAGAGCCACAGACACAGAGCCACAGACACACAGACACAGAGCCACAGACACAGACACAGAGCCACAGACACAGAGCCACAGACACAGAGCCAGAGAGACAGAGCCAGAGAGACAGAGCCAGAGAGACAGAGCCAGAGAGACAGAGCCACAGACACAGAGCCACAGACACAGACACAGACCACAGACACACAGACAGAGCCACAGACAGAGCGACAGAGCCACAGACAGAGCGACAGACACAGACCACAGAGAGACAGAGCCACAGACACAGAGACAGAGCCACAGACAGAGAGCCACAGAGAGACAGAGCCACAGACACAGAGACACAGAGCCACAGACACAGAGCCACAGACACAGAGCCACAGACACAGAGAGACACAGACAGAGAGACACAGAGACACAGAGCCACAGACACAGAGCCACAGACAGAGAGCCACAGAGACACAGAGCCACAGAGACAGAGCCACAGACAGAGAGCCACAGACAGAGAGCCACAGACACAGAGCCAGAGACACAGAGCCACAGACACAGAGCCACAGACACAGAGCCACAGACACAGAGCCACAGACACAGAGCCACAGACACAGAGACAGACACAGACACAGAGCCACAGACAGAGCCACAGAGCCACAGACACAGAGCCACAGACAGAGAGACAGAGCCACAGAGACACAGAGCCACAGACACAGAGACAGAGAGCCACAGACAGAGAGCCACAGACAGAGAGCCAGACAGTCAGAGAGCCACAGACAGAGAGCACAGACACAGAGCCACAGACAGACAGAGAGCCACAGACACAGAGCCCACAGACAGAGAGCCACAGACAGAGAGCCACAGACAGAGAGCCACAGAGCCACAGACAGAGAGCCACAGACAGACAGAGCCAGAGAGAGACAGAGCCACAGACAGAGAGACAGAGCCACAGACAGAGAGACAGAGCCACAGACAGAGAGACAGAGCCACAGACAGAGAGACAGAGCCACAGACAGAGAGACAGAGCCACAGACAGAGAGACAGACAGAGCCGCTCTGTTCTGGATCAGCTGAAGTTTGGGAAGACTCTTTTTTGATGCTCGTGACCTGATGACAGAGCCGTGTGTAAACATGAAAGCACCGGAGACTGAATAACCATCTTAATATTAAAAAAAAAAAAGCTCAGCGTCTTATATTTGACACGACTCTACTCATTTTAGCCACAGTGTTTTTAATCCGAGCAGTTCAGGATGAAGTGGAGTCAGTTTTTGTCGCTTGTGAATGTGAAAAACCTGTTCTCTGTTTGTAAACGTCCAAAACATCGATTATTTCCGAGTCTTAAACGCTGCTTGTTTCTCTCCTCAGCGGCTGTGGGTCACTTGTGTGTAAAATAATAATAATAATGCGACAGGAGCTCTGAACCGCGCTCGTCTTGTCTGTGTGCAGTTTTATGAGCAGTTTGACGAGGACGAGATCGGGGCCCTGGATAACGCGGAGCTGGAGGGACACATCGAGCCGGACTCCTGCCGCCTGGAGGAGGTGATCCAGGACTATTACAGACAGAAGCACAACGAGTGAGTCTCTCCTCTACCTGGAATATTTATTTATCATTATTATTATTATTATTGTTTTCTTCAAGTGCGTTTGACAGATTCATGTTCTGATTCTGGGAAACCTGTGTCAGAGCTCAGTGAAGTGAGTCTCTCCGTCTTTGTGCTCGACACGGAAAAACTCCAGAGAGAATTTACAGTTTAAACCTTCATTTAACAAAATAAAAGTGTCTATGTGTTTATTTTTAATCTAATCATAACCATAGTGTAGTTTACACGGAGCCACAGACACGGAGCCACAGACACGGAGCCACAGACACGGAGCCACAGACACAGACACGGAGCCACAGACACGGAGCCACAGACACGGAGCCACAGACACGGAGCCACAGACACAGACACGGAGCCACAGACACGGAGCCACAGACACGGAGCCACAGACACAGGAGCACACAGAGCCACAGACACAGGCCACAGACACAGACACGGAGCCACAGACACGGAGCCACAGACACAGACACGGAAGCACAGACACGGAGCCACACACGGAGCCACAGCCACAGACACGGAGCCACAGACACGAGCCACAGACACGGACACGGAGCCCACAGACACGGAGCCACAGACACGGAGCCACAGACACGGAGCCACAGACACACGTTTTGGTCGTTGTTTACTTTACAGTTGCTGGTCTCTCCCTGCAGGTGTCACAGGTTTAGTGAGTCTCAGTTTCCCACAATGCACCTGGAGCAGCAGATTCAGTGCAGAGGTGGATTTTAAATGTTTTTTTTTTTAATATGAGCTAAATGTTTTATTATGATGAACTGAAGAGAACGTAAACATAAGAGCTCTGACATAAACAACTGGGACAAAGACTTTTTGGATTAAATTTCTATGGAGCAAATAAAACAAACACAAACTGTGACAAAAACACAGTAAAATAGAAGAACACGAGTTTCATTGTTGACAAAAGCGCGTGTTGCATGATGGGAATTATTTTGGTCGGCGGCAGGAAACACTAATTCAACATGTCGGACGGAGCGAGAAAGCACGTAAAGGGTATTGATCCCGGTTATTTATCCACTCTAACAGCAGAGGACCCAAGACCATTTGACCAGGGACTAGGGACGGGCATTCGATAAAATTTTCTTAATTGATCTTCGGAAGAATTAACGATCAATTATCGATTAATCATTAAGGTTTTTATATTAAAATGATCATCATTATTATTACTATCTGCACTAATCTGCATCAATAAATTCAACTTTACGACATATAAACATAACGACTCTAGATCCACATCAGCTGTTTGACATTATAATGTGTTTAATTCAGTTTTGTTCAAATCTCACAGAAACAAAACTTAAAACCACATCACTAATTTACATAAACTAAGTGAAGATAAAACTCCAGCTCTTGTGTCGCTGATGTGGTTCAACTTGTGTTGGATTAAAAGACATGACTCAGGTGAATACAGGTCAGTGTGACCAGATTTGTGTTTGTCAAAACCAGGACAGCGTACGGGGGGAGGGGGGCGGGGCCTCGTCATCCACATTGAGCGACTCTCACCTGGAAAAACTTTTTCCCACTGGACACAGAAACATATGTGCTGCTTTATCCACTGTGCACATGGACTCACACTTGTCCCAACGCAACGGAAAGTGTGGAATTTCTTCTACAAATCCTGGTTAAATCCACATTTGTGCTTCGGTTCGTTACAGACTGACCCACTGTTTGTGTCTCGCTCCTTCTGATGCAGACACATGTACACACCTGTTTGGTCACGACACACACACATACATTCAGTTTGTCCATTCAAATGAACATAATCGATGAAATTCTTAATGATCAATTATCAATAGATTGAATCATGCCCATCCCTAGTTTCAACCCCGACAGAGTCTGGACCAAACCAAATTTCTGGTCAGAATCTCCAACTCCCTGGACAAATATTCACTTGGGCGACATCCACAATGACTTGGTGGAAACTCCTGGGCCATTCACAGCAGAAAAGATGAAAACCTCCAAGAGTCTGGATGTGTTGTTGAACTTGTTGAGTCCACGGTTTGTTAGGATCTTCTACGTTTGCTCTGCGGATGTTTGAAAGTCGTTTAATTCACCGTTAGTGGTTCTTTTCACTCAGAATATGAAAAAGACATTTTCCTTCTTCCGTGCTTCTATTTGTGCGTCCGATAATGCAGCAGGAATTTACCATTATCAGGGATAAATACACGAGGTTACACACTGTGTTTACCGTGTTTCTTGCCTCCGACCAAAATATTTCCCAGCAGCAACGCGGACTTTTAATAACAATGACGTCAGCTGAAACTCGCCTGTATGTGTATGTGTTCACTTGTGTAAAGTGCTGTGTGTGTAAGTGCTTTTTACGGTTTCCAAAAACAAACAAACAAAAGATATAAGGGAACAGAAAATATGTAAATGCAAATGTGATTTGACAGCCCTAAAATGTAAACACACACTTTCAAACACTGCAATGTACGACACACAAATCCCCATCCTTTTTTTGTTTTTTTCTCTTTGTATGCGTGTTGGTCTTTTATATTTTGTTATGTTTACTTTGTTATTGCCAAATTATTAAAAACTAATTATTATGACAAATTATTTAAAAAACTAAACTGTTACTAAGTCAAAGTGTCTTTACTTTACTTAATTCCTACTCAAGTAAAAGTAACCATATAAAAATCTATTCGAGTAAACTTAAAAAAGTACTTAATTTAAAATGTAATCTGAGTAAAAGTTACTTAGTTACTTTCAATTATTTGATGTAAAAAAGAGTCATAAATCTAATCCAGCACAAGTTGTTTAAATCAACTTTTAAATGATACAGACTTTGTTCACTGTAAACTTTGTACATTTTACTATTTTAAGACTATTTTAACTTACTATTCTAATAGAGATGTAACAATAACTGACTACAAATACAAAGTGAGCATTCATGATACACAAACCTCTTTTGCCACCCTGTTTATTCCTTTGTCATTTAGGCCCCGTTTACATGTACACGGGTATTTTTAAAAACAGAGACATTTCCCTTCGTTTGTTCACATCGTTTACACACAAACGGAGAATTCACCTCTGAAAACAAATCTTTCTAAAAACTCCGGCTGGAGTGGAGATTTTGGAAAACTCCAGTTTCACGTTTCTGTGTAAACTGATAAACAGGAGTTTTAGGAGCCGACGCGCTGAAAGTGCCACCGACGTTTACCTGTTGCTATGACGACGATGATGGAAGCATCAGAGCAGCAGTCGCATTTCTTCTGATCGTGCAGGACACTCAGAAAACAGCAGCATGGAGAACTTTGTACACAACTCACCACACGTCAGCCCGGAGCAGAAGCTCTGAGCTCAGCAGCAGAAACACACAGGAGCAGCACCAAACCTGGGACGGGGCTGAGGGTCCAGTGTTGGTCAGATGGTCCAGAGGCTTCGTCCTCCATGTCCTGGTTCCAGACGGAGACGAGTAAGACCAGCACAAAGGACTGGGTCCGAGTGCTTCAGTGCTTCATCTGTGCGCTGGTTCTGTGTGTGAAAAGTGAGAATGTTCTGTGGACCACAGGTCCGGCTGCTCTGGTCTGGTTCTGAGGTGGAGCAGCGTCCGGACAGAAGCGTGAATCCAGTTTGGTTCGTTATATGTTGTTCTGAGCGTCCGTCTGCGCACGTGTTTTTTTGTTTTGTTTTTTCAGGGGAAAGTTCTTCTCAGGTGGAGGTGGACACCACCCCCCACTTCAGCTTCAGCTCATCTGTTTGTTCTGCTGAAACACTTTTCATGTGTTTCCTTCACACACAGATGATGGATCAGATCCATGAGCAGATGAACGAGGGTTTTACCCCGAAACAAACCAGATTAAAACAACAGCAACAAAAATCATTCCTTTTCCATTTTCACTCATTTTTGAAAAAGCTCCAGGGAGCCACTAGGGGAGAGCTAAAGAGCCACATGCGGCTCTGGAGCCGCGGGCTTGCCGACCCCTGACATAGACCATGATCCTTGGCTCCATTTCAGTGCAGATGACAAGAAGAAATAACAGTTCTGACACTTTTAATCTTAGTTCTTTGGATTAAGTCTTGTGAAGGCGTTTTAAGATGAAAAAGAAGCATATTCACAGTTTTAGCCTCTGCAAAATATCACAATAAATAATCGTACCGTGAGGTTCATACTGTGATGATATCGTATCGTGAGACTTGGATATTGTTACACCCCTACACTTACTATTTGAACACTTGCTTTACGTATGATGTTATTCTCTATTTTGTGTTTGATCACAAATGTCTGTCCGAGTTTGGCCGAGGGTTTCCTTCTCTTTCCTCTCGAGAATTACTCAGAGCTCCTTCTTCTTGAGTATCGTTCATGTCGACATAGATCTGTGGCTCCAGTGTCGTCCTGAACCGAGACGCGCGGACGCTTCTGAACAACGACTGAACGTTCTAGAGAGAAAACCTATTTACCTATTTCAAAAACTACTTCAAAAATGACACATTACTCATAAAAACGACTCAATTACAGCAACATGAGTAAATGTGATTTGTTATTTTCCGCCCTTGACTCTGATCCTGATTCAAAGCAAAGAAATAACGTTTACGTGAGACCCATTTTTATTTGATTTGACTTTATTTGATGGTGCTTTCTGTGAAAAGTTTGATATTTAAACTAACGTGACATGTATAGAAATATTTGCCATGTGATACTTTTTCTCACTTTGACGTGGTGTGAAAACATTTGCTGGTCCTGTGTGTGTTCAGGTCTCTGCGGCCCGAGGACCTGGGGCCAAAGGAACTTCCTGTTCTGGAGGAAGTGGAGAGTTCGGAGGAGGAGGAGCTTCAGACGGTGGTGATCGAAGCGCCGGACGAGAAGTGGGACTGTGAGACCATCATCAGTGAGTCACCAGCAGGGGGCAGCACCACCACACTGCTCAGATTACACCACAACACAGAAGTCAGACTAAAGGTGCACTGTGTCTGTGCTCTGCCTGGAATGTTCCACAGTGTGACTTTAAACAGCTCTACTTTTATTTATCTACATTTATTCAATTCCAGGTGGTTTTATGGCTCCAAAAACACCTAGAAACACAAACATGGTGACTGTGAGCGGGGTCGCCTCTCCACAGATCTGACCTGTGACTTGGTCTGGTTTGGTTTCTATTAAAATAGAAAGGTTTAACCCTCACGCTCTCCTCGGGGTCACATTGACCCGAAGAAACAGTTTTTTCCTTCCCGCTCTCTTGGGGCGGGTCAGTCAGACCCAAAAATGTATTTTCAATTAAATTCTCGGCAGGAGAGAAAATACCAGGATATGACTCATAACCGGGATGAGCCGTATCCTGGTTGTCCATCCATCCATTCATTTTCTTCTGCTTTATCCGGGGTCGGGTCTCGGGGGCATCAGTCTGAGCAGGGACTCCCAGACTTCCTTCACCCCAGACACTTCCTCCAGCTCCTCCAGTGGGACCTGAGGTGTTCCCAGTCCAGTCCAGAGACATAGTCCCTCCAGTGTGTCCTGGGTCTTCCCCGGGGCCTCCTCCTGGTGGGACATGAACACCTCCTGAGGGACACGTCCAGGAGACATCAGAACAGATGCCCGAGCCTCAACTGGCTCCTCTCCATGTGGAGGAGCAGCAGCTCTACTCTGAGCTCCTCACTCTGTCTCTAAGGGAGACGCCCAGACACCCTGTGGAGGAAACTCATTTCGAGCGCTTGTATCCGCGACCTCGTTCTTTCGGTCACTACCCAGAGTCATGACCAGAGGTGAGAGTAGGAACAGACTGACGGTAAATCAAGAGCTTTGCCTTTCGACTCAGCTCCTCTTCACCACAACGATACAGCGACCGCATCACTGCAGACGCTGCACCTGTCCACCTGTCAGTCTCACGCTCCGTCCTCCCCTCACTCCAGAACAAGACCCCGACAGACTTGAACTCCTCCACTTGAGGCAGAGACTCTCCACCCGGAGACGACAAGACGACTTTTTCCGGTCGAGAACCGCGAGGAGCTGATCTTCATCCAGACGCTTCACACTCGGGTCAAACCGTCCCAGAGCTGCAGGTCCTGGTCTGATGAAGACGACAGGACGACATCATCTGTGAACAGCAGAGATGATCCTGTGGTCAAACCAGGACCCTCCCACCCCTGACCCCTGACCCCTGACCCCTGACTGCACCCAGAAACTCTGTCCATAAAACAATCCCAGTTAAAAAACTCATAACCGTGATACTCGTGCTGATGTAAACTCACTCACTGTTTTCCTGCTTTTTCCAACTACAACTTCTCAAAGGATAAAACTCAGCAGCTCTTAACTCTCCTTTTGTCTGAATATTTATCCTTTGTGGACGTTGTTGGTCGAAGCTGCTGGAGAATACGACACATTTACACAGAAAACCATTAACCACAAGTTTGCATTTATTTCAGAATCTTGTGTCATCTCGTTCTGGTGAATCTGTCTCTAGTAAAAATGTTATGGCAGTTACTTTTTCAACCCTTTTGTTTGTTTTCAGGCTCGTACTCCAACATTTACAACCGACCCAAAGTCATCGAGGAGCCACAGAAGGTGAGACTCAACGAGCAGAAACACCTGCGCTCACAGTAACTTTACTTCAAAAGAACAGTACTCTAGTCTAGTACAAGTACACAGCAGTGGTCCAAGAAAGAACTCGAATACTTAAAGAAACTGGGAGAAGTACTACTCGAGTAAGAAGAGTACTACAACAAAATAATATACCAAAACTATTAACCACTGTCAGAGGTTAGTTACATTTACACGAGTCACTTTTTAAAGAAATTGTACTTTTCTTGTCGCATACTTTTACTCCTGCTTGGGTAATATTTGTACTGTTACTTGAGTAAAAGTTGTGCTTCCTCTTCCCACTGTGACGAAGACTAAAGTGACAAATCTTCAATGTGACAAAATGAAACGATTTGAACTTTTGTGTTTCTTGCAGCTGCTTCACATTTGATTCAGTTTGTTTCATTTTTGTGTCTGTCCTTTGAAAAACAGCAGATTTTGGGATTTATTTCAGGTTTTGTCAAATTACAGTCACTTCAGATTACCGTAGTTTTTGGCATATAAGTCGCACCAGCCAAACAATGCAGAATGAAGAAGAAAAAAACATATATAAGTGGCACTTTCTGGGGGGAAATGTATCTGATAAAATGAGAGATCAGGAGCCGACGTTTCCTGTGTAAAGTGAAGTTGTAGTAAAAACAACAGAAGAGAGAAGAACTACGACGGAGTATAAGGGTCAGGAAAAATTTAATTCGTAATATTATGAGAATAAAGTCGAAGCAAGAAAAAGTCATAATTTTATGAGAATAAAGTGTCAAAATAAAGTGTTAATATCAGGAGAATATCTGCGGCTCGTGGAGAATTTGGAGCATTTTGTAAAGGAGAAGAATCTGTGGATCATTCGTTCATTCGACTGAACAAGGACTGAATCAGGTCCAGAACCAAACCAGAAAGACCAGGATTAAGACCGGGACCAGACCAGGACTGAGACCGGGACCAGACCAGGACTGAAAACGGTTTAGTCCTGGTTTAAGTCACGGAAATGGGAAATGGCGTTTCCATGACTTTAAAATGTGATGAGGGACTGAACCAGGACTGAACCAGGACTGAACCGGGACTAAACCGGGACTGAACCCAGGACTGAACCCAGGACTGAACCAGGACTAAACCGGGACTGAACCCAGGACTGAACCAGGACTGAACCGGGACTGAACCAGGACTAAACCGGGACTAAACCGGGACTGAACCGGGACTGAACCAGGACTAAACCATTTTCAGTCCAGGTCCTGTTCCCGGTATCAGTCCTGGTCTCAGTTCTTGTCTGATCCCGGTCTCAGTCTTGGCCCCGGACTCAGTCCTTGTCTAAGTCCCGGTCTCAGTCCCGGTCTCAGTCCCGGTCTCAGTCCCGGTCTCAGTCCCGGTCTGGTCTTGGACCTGGTTTAGTCCTGGTTCAGTCCTGGTTCAGTCCGGAGGCGCAAATAATGAAGAAAATTGTTGTTCGTTTCTTATTTTTGGTTTTATATTGAAAAACAAGGTTCTTCTTCTGCTGCATTTTTCACTTTGACTTTGATTTTATTACGACTTTATTCTCCTAATATTATAACTTTATTCTCATAATATTGTGACTTTATTTTAACTTTGACTTTATTCTCATAATATTACGACTTTAATGTCGAAATGTTACGACTTTCTTCTCGTAGCTCCAGCATCTTTTGTTTTAATCTGACCTTTATACTCCGTCGTACAGAACAGACTGTTAACGTCACATATTTCTCGTGCTGTCAAGAGATTAAAAAATGTAGAGATTAATTATGATCTGTAATGAATTAATCTTTTTTAATCTCACCTAAAAATTGCTGAGAAAAGCTTCAACTTGAGCTATTTCCATTTGAATTCATTATTACATTATTGTGGCAGATCAAAAGACGGATATAGAACAAAAAAAGTGACTTTATAAAATCATTTACATTCCACATCATCATTATTACTGTTACTAATCTGCATAAATAAACTCAACTTTACAACATATAAACATAAACACTTTAGAGCCACATCAGCTGTTTGACATGATCATGTGTTTAATGCAGATTTGCACAAATCTCACAAAAACAAAACTTAAAACCTCACGACTCATTTACATAAACTAAGCGAAGAAAATAAAAATAAAAAAGCTCTTGTGTCGCTGATGTGGTTCAACTTCTGTCGGACTAAAGGACACGACTCAGTGTATATGAGTGTTCTCTCTGGAGTAAGAAGCTTTCAAAAATATTCGCGCGCATAGAATAGAAAACCGTGCATATTCGTCTGTAGTTAAAATAAAGCATAAAATATTTGTAAACTCTCAAATGAGTCCAGTCGTGTGTATTTTATCCATCAGAATACGAACTGAAAAGTTACGATGTCAAGAATTACAATTACGAAATGAAAGTTTGCGATTACGCTTTCATCAGTACGAACACGAATTCACAGACGGGACTTTACTGTCAAAAATACTTGAGTATTAGAGTATAGAGTACATCTGTATCTGCTGAATACATTTTTATATCAGATGAATTCACTTGAGTTTTTGGCCTTGTCAGAATCAGAATCAGAAGCAGAATCATAATTTCTTGCTCCTCTGACAGTGACTCTTTCCGTTACTCTTACTTGAGTAGTACTTTTCCCAAATATTTTTTTACTCTTGCTTGTATTTTCTTGTTTTCTTGAGTAATATTCTTCTGAAGTAACATTTCTCTTTTGCCGTTTTTCATGACGTAACTCGGTAGTTTCCGCCCTCACACTCGCCTCAGTTCTGGTGGAGGGCGGAAGGGCCAGGAACTCTATTTAAAGCTGCATTGTGTAACTTTTCTGGTAAAGGGTCTGTCACATCCTTGTTCTTGTTTTGTCTGGAGTGATTCACAGTCGAACTTTACTTCACAATAAAAAAAATTCAATTCTGAATAAAAAGGAAGTCCTCTTTAAAAGACCAAATTAACTTTTAATTCCCAATGAAAATGATAATGAAAGTAACAATGAACTTTAAAACAAACACAAAAATACAGAAATAAAAACAGCTGGAAAAAACTAATGATTTAATTGTTTCTATTGAACAAAATTCTGTATAAATCTGCATCAAAATCACGACATTTGAAGTTTTATTAAATCTCAAAATATCCACAAATACTTTGACTTTTTACTCTTGGACTTAGACAAACTTTTGATCCACAGAAGAAAAGATTTGGACTCAGGAGTCACACGCCACAAAATAATAGAATAACAAAGAGGAAAAAATATAAATGTAATAATAAATTCTAAATGAGCAGCAAATAAAGAGCAAGAGACACGAGTCAAATAAAACATAATTATGTAAATGTAAATGTTCAAGTCAAAATAAAATAGGTCAGATTTGATCTTTTATTACTTATCTTTGTATTTACAAAAAGAAAATATAAAATCTGAGCCACAGACAAGAATAAAATGTCAAATTTCAGTTTTTTACAAAAATTAAATGTCAAATTTCAGCAGTTTTTAAGAATGTCAAATTTCAGCTATTTACCAGAATAAAATGTCAAATTTCAGCTATTTACAAGAATAAAATGTCAAATTTCAGCTATTTACAAGAATAAAATGTCAAATTTCAGCAATTTTTAAGAATAAAATGTCAAATTTCAGCTATTTACAAGAATAAAATGTCAAATTTCAGCTATTTATAAGAATAAAATGTCAAATTTCAGCAATTTTTAAGAATAAAATGTCAAATTTCAGTTATTTACAAGAATAAAATGTCAAATTTCAGCTATTTACAAGGATAAAATGTCAAATTTCAGCTATTTTTAATAAATTGTCAAATTTCAGCAATTTTTAAGAATAAAATGTCAAATTTCAGCTATTTACAAGAATAAAATGTCAAATTTCAGCAATTTTTAAGAATAAAATGTCAAATTTCAGCTATTTATAAGAATAAAATGTCAAATTTCAGCAATTTTTAAGAATAAAATGTAAAATTTCAGCAATTTTTAAGAATAAAATGTCAAATTTCAGTTATTTACAAGAATAAAATGTCAAATTTCAGCTATTTACAAGAATAAAATGTCAAATTTCAGTTATTTACAAGAATAAAATGTCAAATTTCAGATATATACAAGACTTTAAGAACATTTTTAAACAGGTACTTTAATAATTTTTACTTAAGTAGATTTTTCATGTGATATTTTACTTTTGCTCGAGTATTTTTTGCTCCAGTATTTGTACTTTTACTTTCCAGTATTTGTACTTTTACTTGAGTAACAAACCCGAGTTGTTGTTCCACCGCTGATTCGATCCGAGCTCAGAAAATGTCTCATTTGTTTCTTTTATTGAAACTATTAAAAGTGAGAAGTGAACGGTGGGTTTTGTGGTTTCAGCCGAAGCAGATTCGAGTGTCGGCGAAGTCCGGGGTCCCGCTCGACGTCCTGCCCCCCAAAGGCCCGACCGCCAAACAGAGCGAACGCATGACGAGGATCAACCCCGGAGACCTGCCCACCGCCGCCACCCAACCACGCAGCCGCGACGAGAGCCGCGACGACAGGAGGAGGAGGAAGAACGCCGTCAAGGAGGAGCGCAAGGTGAGAGGGAGGAGGAGAGAGGAGGAGGAGGAGGAGAGGAGGAGGAGGAGGAGGAGGAGGAGAGAGGAGGAGGAGGAGGAGAGAGGAGCGCAAGGAGAGGGAGAGGAGGACGAGGAGGAGGAGACGAGGAGAGGAGAGAGGAGCGCAAGGAGAGGGAGAGGAGACGAGGAGGAGGAGCGCAAGGAGAGAGGGAGGGGGAGGAGGAGGAGAGGAGGGAGGAGAGGAGGAGGAGGAGAGAGGAGAGAGGGAGAGGAGCGCAAGGTGAGAGGGAGAGGAGACGAGGAGGAGGAGAGAGGAGAGGAGAGGAGAGAGAGGAGGAGGAGCGCAAGGAGAGAGGGGAGGGGGAGGGGGAGGAGAGAGGAGAGAGGAGGAGACGAGGAGTGCAAGGTGAGGAGACGAGAGGAGAGGAGGAGAGGAGGAGAGAGAGGAGGAGGAAGAACGCCGTCAAGGAGGAGCGCAAGGTGAGAGGGAGGAGACGAGGAGAGGAGAGAGGAGGAGGAGGAGCACAAGGAGAGAGAGGAGAGGAGGAGAGGTGGAGAGAGAGGGAGAGGAGACGAGGAGGAGGAGCACAAGGTGAGAGGGAGGAGACGAGGAGAGGAGGAGGAGAGGAGAGAGGAGGAAGCACGCCGTCAAGGAGGAGCGCAAGGTGAGGAGACGAGGACGAGGAGGCACAAGGTGGAGGAGAGCAAGGAGAGGAGGTGAGGAGGTGAAGGAGGAGCGCGAGGAGAGGGGAGGAAGCAGGAGGAGAAGGAAGGAGGAGACAGAGGAGAGGATGTGAAGGAGGAGTACAAGGTGAGAAGGAAGGAGGAAATTGTTTCACAAATTTCTTCTTGTTTGGTTTGAAACTGTTATTTTTATTGACATCAGGTAAAATCAAAGTGAGAATCCTCAGTTTTCACTTTCATCCGTTTGTTTTTTCCGTCACAGGAGCGAAGGATCGAGAAAAAGGCAAACAAAACTGCATTTAAAGAAGAGAAGGCACGACAAGAGAAACAACTGCACAATCTGCACACAAACATCCAGGGACTCAAACTCTAAACAACAAACAAACAAACAACAGGCTTTTATTCTGAAAAGAACTGGACCGCAGAGAGGGGCACTTCCTGGAGCTATGAGGACTCTTATTTTGAAGGCGAGAGTTCACTTCCTTCTGCTCCACCTGAACCGCCTCACGTCACGTTTAACTGAGACTTTAACGTTTGGACCCGTCTGTGTTTTTGTGTAACTTTTGCAGTAACTAAAAATGTTTATCAAAATGACTCGAGTTGTTTTATTTTGGAGAATTTACACTTTTCAAAACTGACTCCTGTGAGCTTTAAGTCGCTTTCTAATGTCGTTTCCTCCTCATAAACTGAGCTGGAGTTGTGTTTTGTTTCATTCACACTTTTTATTACGAGTCTGTTTACGTCTCCAAAGCTCAAAACGCTCTGTCCCACCTTGTGATGTCATGACGCTGTAGTTTGAGTGAACAGCTCCTTTTACTTTTAGTTCAGAAGAGATTTACACTTCCAGATCGGCTGAAATGATCGATGATTCTAGTGAAGGTGTGTGGAGTTTAAAAACACAGTGGAGCACTTCCTGTATCATCACATGATGACATCACAAGGTGGAAGAGAGTGTTTTCAGTTCGAGAGAAGAACTGAGCCTAAATGTGCAGGTCAAACTTGTGAATGAAACAAAACACAAACGAGATTAGAACAGATCAGAAGAATCGTACTCGCCCTTCAAAATAAAACTACTAATCCTTTTCTGAACATTTTACAACAAAAATATAAAATACATTTTGGGTAAAAACTCGGGAGACGAGATTTTTGACACAATCGTCCCGAGAATCATTAAAGCAGCTGTTTTATAAAAATCTACTGACACTTTTATCTGCTTTAAATGAAAGAAAAACAAATGTAAAAGTAAAAAATATTAGTTTTTATTTAAAATGTTTATACACGATATACAAAGTTTATGATTCGGCAGCTTTAAAAATATGACATTTCCTTCTAAAATGTGGAGGCAGAAGACAAATAATCACATGTAAATAGAGTTGTTTTGGAGAAATGCTACTTTTTTTTGGTTAAATCTGTATATATAAATAAATATAATCTAATAGTCAGTTTTTTTTAAATGTACGTGTGTAAATCCATATATACACTCTGTTCTAATGTGGCATTTCTCCAAAACAATTATCATTTATAATAAACTAAACTTGATCCTTCAAACATGTTTCTGAACTTCTGTCGTTTATTCTGTAGAAAATTCACTTTTGCGAAACTTCAACACGACATTTAAAAGAAAAGATTCACCGTTTTTTTTTGGTTTTTTGTCAGTATCGTTCGCTTCAAACAACAATAATCATCATCATCACATATTTTCTTTCACCTTTGACTTAAATGTGGAGCAGGTCGGACCGGTTCAGACCAGAACCGACCGGACGCATTGTCAAAACATTTAAGGCGTTTGTTTTACCGAGTGGAAAGTCCAAGGTGCAGCCGCAAAACAAAAGAAATAAATGAGGAAACGGGCGGAGCTTGAACTGATACAATCTGCTGCTAAAGCCACAGTCTGGAGCTTTTCACACACACAAAAAAACAGACAAATAAAATCATGTTTTGTTTTATTGCACTGAAAACACGTGAGCGACTCGAGAATGTTGGTGCCGCCTCCCGCAAAAAGTTACACACTTTAAAAAGTTGACGTTCACGGTTCGTATTTCAAAACTGGCACAAAGTTCAGCATTTGTTTAGTATTTTTATAAAAACGAGTGCATTTGTGGAGATCAGGTTCAACGTTCAATCTTATAAAAAATACGACAACATTTAAATAAAACTCAATATATATATAAAAATAGAACAGTGATAAATAATTGCACCACCTGGACCCTGAGAGAGACGAACTCACTAGTGTTCAGACTAGGGATGGGCAGGATTAATCGATTAATCGATAATTGATCATTAAGAATTTCATCGATATGTTTCTGTGTCCAGTGGAAAAAGTTTTTCCAGGTGAGAGTCGCTCAATGTGGATGACGAGGCCCCGCCCCCCTCCCCCCGTACGCTGTCCTGGTTTTGACAAACACAAATCTGGTCACACTGACCTGTATTCACCTGAGTCATGTCTTTTAATCCAACACAAGTTGAACCACATCAGCGACACAAGAGCTGGAGTTTTATCTTCACTTAGTTTATGTAAATTAGTGATGTGGTTTTAAGTTTTGTTTCTGTGAGATTTGAACAAAACTGAATTAAACACATTATAATGTCAAACAGCTGATGTGGATCTAGAGTCGTTATGTTTATATGTCGTAAAGTTGAATTTATTTATGCAGATTAGTGCAGATAGTAATAATAATGATGATCATTTTAATATAAAAACCTTAATGATTCATCGATAATCGATCGTTAATTCTCCCGACAATCGATTAAGAAAATTGAATCGAATGCCCGTCTCTAGTTCAGATCCTCAAGAAAAACACTAGACCTGGTTTAGACCCGCTTCAGATCCATCTGAGACCTGGTTTAGACTTAGTCACATTTCAGTTTGTGTTATAAACGCGTAAAAGCCCTGACTGAGTAAATAAACTTATAAATGATTTTGGCACAGGTTCTTTTCCAGGACCATCGTCCATGGTTCATGTTGACTTAGTCCTGGTTTAGTCCTGGTTTAGTCCTGGTTTAGTCCGGTCTGTTAGCTGCTATATCCACTCACCACGTCTTTAGATGTTGTAGTCCTTGGTTTAGACCCCTATTTAGACCTGGTTTAGTCCTTTAGACCTGGTTTAGTCCTTTAGACCTGGTTTAGTCCTGGTTTAGACCTGGTTTAGTCCTTTAGTCAGCCCATGTATCCTTCGACCACGTCTCCGTCCAGGTCCATGTTTACGTTGTGAGTTCTCCTCTCGTAGTTTGTGGCTGGTATTTCATCAGAGTCGAGTGAGTTTATGGACACGGTCTCGGTCTTGGTGGACTCCCCGGACTCGTCCTGATAGTCCCGGTACCAGGCCGAGTCTTTTCGGACGTCCTCGGTCCGGATCAAAACCTGGTGTTCGGTCTGGACGTCCTCGGACTCTGGACTTTCGGGGTCGTGGAGCTTCGGTCCTGGTTTAGACCCGGAGATGTGGACTGAACTGTAAACCGTCTCAGCTGAAGGAAACAGGACTTTTTGGTTTGATGGATTTGGAACCTGTTCAAAAAACAGAAACAAAAGATCAAATGTTCCGCCGTTTCCTGATCTGATCTGTGTCCTAATGTTTCCTCATCAAAAATCTGAGTTTTATTTATTCACACCAAAGGAGAAATTTATTTTGTCGACTGGACAAAAGTTTATTTTGGTCGAAAACGTTTCACAAACCGTCTCTAGAATCATTTGGATAATTTATGCCAAACTCGACTGAACTAAAGGTAAAAAGAGCTTCAAGTTACTACCACCTCATGACATCACAAGGTGGAACAGAGCGTTTTGATCTTTGGAAATGTTAATAAAAATAATAAAAATAAAGTGTTACTCAAACGTGTGATTAAAATAAAACACCTGCAGGTTTGTTTTTAACATTTTAACATGACTTCACTCTCACATGAGTCTGACGTTTGTCTCTGAATTGAGTTTTACATTTTATTAAATAAAAAGATCAGAAAAACACCGATCGTCTTGATGATGATTTGAATCTGATCGATCAAAGTGGAACGAATTCAACAATCAGAGTTTAGAGAAAAGCACAGACTCGTTTTTACAAACTCAACAGTCGCTACAGCCTCGAGTTCGTCTGTCGGCGCGTCATGTTTCTTTGTTTTGGTTCATTTGCCTTTAGCTCCGCCCACACAGCAGTGCTGCTCTGTGATTGGTTCGTCTGTTATCTGCACAGCGAGTTCGCTCAAAGACACAGTCTCCTGACTTTTCACAAATATCGTGAGACTCCATCTCGCTGCGAGGACACGAGTCCATTCTGTGTCCTTCTGTGTCGTTTATTAGAATATTTCAAGTCCTGTTTTCTCTGTCGTGTTTAAAGAAAAAGCCACAGAGTCTGGGAGGGCATCTGACACACACCACTGAGTCACGGTCGAGTCCCGGTCGATCAGGTTCTCCCTCTCTCTTACTCTACTCTCTATCTCTCCTCTCCTCCTCTCGGTCGAGTCCCGGTCGAGTCCCGGTCGAGTCCCGGTCGAGTCCTGGTCGAGTCCTGGTCGAGTCCCGGTCGAGTCCCGGTCTCCTCTTGGTCGAGTCCGGTCGAGTCCGGTCGAGTCCCGGTCTCCTCTTGTCGAGTCCCGGTCGAGTCCCGGTCTCCTCTTGGTCGAGTCCCGGTCGAGTCCCGGTCTCCTCTTGGTCGAGTCCCGGTCGAGTCCCGGTCTCCTCTCGGTCGAGTCCCGGTCTAGACTCACCAGCGCTTGTGGAGTTGGAGTCTTTGGAAAAACCCAGGCTTTCACTTTACAGATCGCTGTCGCCAAGGAAACGATCACAACGACCAGGACGACGACGGAGAGGACGGCGACGAGCCAGAGCGCCGCCGCTACTGCACCACACGACAAACAAACAAACAATAAACAACAAACAAACAAACAAACAATAAACAAACAACAAACAAACAAACAATAAACAACAAACAAACGACAAACAAACAATAAACAAAAACGACAACAAACAAAAACAACAAACAACAATAAACAACAACAAACAAACAAACAAACGACAAACAAACAAACGACAAACAAACAAACAAACAAACAAACGACAAACAAACAAACGACAAACAAAGAAACAAGACAAAGATGTAGATTAGGAGTTGTATTTTGATACTTCACAGTGACACCACGCTGGGGGTGTTCTACATGTAACTCTATGGTGGTATGTTCAGCAGTTACCATGGTGACAGTGTTGGTGTAAATCGTTTGGATTAACAGGACAGAACTGAGTTTACAGATGTGACCCGGTTTATGGTTCAAATCTCATTTCTGGGCCACAAGAAACAAAAACGTTCAGGCTTTTTTCTGTCGGGACAAAGAAAAGATCTGCTTTTATTTTTGTGTCTGTCCTTTGAAAACACCAGAGTTTGTGATTTATTTAATGTTTTGTCAATTCACATTCACTTCAAATTATAAATCTGCAGTTACGTCCCGACAGTTTCTCTTTAAGTTACTCGAGTAGAAAGTCATTGGTGATTTCTCGTACTTGAGTTTCTCTCTTCTCTACACACCTCTGCTTTAATAAAACATTATTTATGGAAAGTCTGTGGGAAAATGAATGAGCCTTGTGAAACCTGATGAAGTAGCAGAGACTGACCAGAGGGGGCAGTAGCGCAGACGGGCCCCGTGTGCCGCACTTCGATCTTTTCGTTTCCTTTTATGATGAGTCCAGTCAGGTTCACACAAGAGTCCCAGTCGTCAGGAAAATCCAAGTAGTGTTTACAATCCTTCTCCTCACATTTATCTCTGACCTCATCTCTCTGCAGAAGCACAAGAGGAAATTAGGAGCATAAATAAAACTGAAAAGAGGCTCGATTTCTAGATTTCTGATGCCCCTGCACCACCTGAGGTTAAACAGTTTCTTTTTTTTTTGTAATTCTTTATTTTTCTTTTTTAATGTTGTATGAAAAGACAAATACAATACAACCTGCAGGTGCCTTGATGTCCACAAAGCATGGATTAATTAAAAGATTTTTTTTTTATATATATAATTTTTTTTAATATATATATTATATATATACAGTATATATACAGTATATATATATATATATATGTATATATATATATATATATATATATATATATATATATATATATATATATGTATATATATATATATATATATATATAAATATAAATATAATGAACAATAATTTTTACAGCCACTTACAAGAAAAACAAAGTAATGGGTCAAACAAAGTCTGATTTCACAGTATTTATATAATCAATCCACCGTTTCCATTTGCTTTCAAATTTGTCTTGTTGCAGTCTCATGCTAAAAGTAATTCTCTCCATCTTAAAAATATCATAAATAATCTCAAACCGTTCATCCAGTGTTGGTATTTGTGGATTAAGCCATTTCCTGGTTATAGTTTTCTTAGCAGCTGCACTCAAAATGTGGAACAGGTATTTAGGTTTATACGTCACATTTTCACCCATCAGGAAACCCAAGTACATTGTTTCAAATCGAAACGGTCAATACAGAACAGTTACTAATGATTTGTGAATTTTTCTCCAAAATGGAACAATATGAGGCCTCCAGTTCACCGCGTCTCCAACAGTTTGATGATTTGGTGTAGTGTCTTTCCTGGACTGGTGTTTTAAAGAACCTCACCAAATTCTTCCAACAAAACTCTCTCCAAATAATTGAGTTAGAAGTTTTCCATTGTATCTCGCAGACGTCTTCCCAATCCTGATCAGATATAGTTAGACGTCCCTCCTTTTCCCAGTTTTGTTTCGCATGGTGTAGTATTCCTTTTGTTTGTTGCAGTCCTCTGTATAGTCTTGAAATTATCTTTTGGTCATTATTAAAGTTTATGCCTCCACAAACACCTTAATCAGAAGATTATTTAAAATATTTTTCTTTGGTAGTCTTCAATAATTTTTCAATGAAATCTCTAATTTGGAGGAATCTAAAAAAATCACTGTTATTTAAACCAGTTGCCCTGTATTCTCCCTTGATGTATAAGAGTACAGTTAACCACTCTTTAAACCTTACATCCAATTTGTTAGGTGTGAAATCTTTATCATATCCGCACCATCTCAACATTACTACTGCACCTTTTAAATTGTTTTGTTGTATATTACCTTATTCCACAGTCTGAGAGACAAGGCGATAAATGGGTTTTCCAAGTTATTTAATTGGTCCTGTCTAACTTTTTCCCCAATAAGTTCCTGAATTGGATATTCACTGGTTGTTGCCTCCTCGATGATTTTCCATCTAACAAAATATTGTGGATTACATAGACACACCAATGATTTCAATTGTGCAGCCACACAGTAATCTTTTAAACAAGGGAGTGCCACACCCCCTCTACTCCTGGGTAGCTGCAAATTCTGATATTTGATTCTTGGTCTTTTGCCCTGATGTATCTTGAAATAAGTCTGTCCCATTCCTGGAACTGTTGATCTGATAATTCTATGGGAAGGGATTGAAATAGGTAGAGGAGTCGGGGTAGAATATTCATTTGAACTGATTGGATTCTCGATCCAAAACCAAGGAGGGGAATCACACTCCACCTCTGTACATCATCTTTAATTGCCTGGTTTAATGGTACAAAATGATCAGAATACAAGTTTAACAAATTTTTGGAAATTTTTACTCCCAGGTATTTGAGGTAAAACAGTTTCACGTTTGGTATTTGTACCATGATTTTATTTTAGGTTATGAAATAAAAGTGGACACACAGGAGCCTGAGCGTTACAGGTCACACAGTTTAGGCTGTGGACCCCAACTCCTCCAGATGAACTGGACTCTCCATCCTCCATCCTCCATCCTCCATCCTCCATCCTCCATCCTCCATCCTCCAGTCTCTGATCTGAACCCGAGGGATGTCGGCTATCGTTACTCAACTCCTGTTCCGTTACTCGACTCGCGTCCGGGCTGCTCGAACTTTATTTGACTGGCGTTCGGTTCGATTTTCAGATTTCTAAGCTGGTCGGTTTGTTCGAG